TCGCTGCGGTCCTCAAGTTTGCTCCCAAAACCCCTATCGTTGAGGATGAGAACATCTCCACCCCCTTCCTTGAGGTCGGCTCCACCAACCTCATCGAGCCCAACTCCGTCGTGCGATTCCTCGCTGGCGCCAAGGAGACCGTTGAGTCCAACCTGCTCAAGTACGAGCAGGAGACCATCTACCGACTTTTGACTGGTCAGGTCCAGACTCCTCTGGATGAGTCTATTCTCAAGCTGTCCACTATCGCCTCTGGATCTGCCGAGGAGATCATTGTTTTCGGCTCCCTATTTGCCCTGAACGAAAAGTCCGGTGAGGCCGGCAAGTGGGTTGATGAGCGACTGGCTGCCAACGAGACCCTGGCCCAGGCCATCACCCGAGTCAAGGTCAAGAAGGCTAAGAAGGCCGTGGCTGCCCCCGTTGATCTGCCCCTTAACACTGGCGAGCAGAACCTGTCCGAGTCCTTCACCGCCAAGAAGTCCAACGACGACGTCATTAAGCCTGTTCCTGGCCAGCGAAACATTCTCATTACTTCCGCTCTGCCATACGTCAACAACGTGCCCCATCTCGGTAACATCATTGGATCCGTTCTGTCGGCCGATGTCTACTCTCGATACTGCAAGGGCCGAAACTTCAACGCCCTGTACATCTGTGGTACCGACGAGTACGGAACCGCCACCGAGACCAAGGCTCTGGAAGAGAAGGTGACCCCCAAGGAGCTGTGTGACAAGTACCACAAGATCCACAAGGATGTCTACGACTGGTTCCAGATTGGCTTCGACTACTTTGGCCGAACCACCACTGATAAGCAGACCGAGATTGCCCAGGACATTTTTATGAAGCTGCACGATAACGGCTACCTCGAGGCCCAGAAGATGACTCAGCTCTACTGCACCCAGCACAACGCCTTCCTTGCCGACCGATTCGTCGAGGGTATCTGCCCCAAGTGTAGCTACGAGGATGCCCGAGGTGACCAGTGTGATGGTTGCGGTACTCTCCTCAACCCCTTCGAGCTTGTCAAGCCCCGATGTAAGCTCGATGGCTCTTCCCCCGAGGTGCGAGACTCGGAGCACATCTTCCTGTCCCTGGACAAGCTGCAAAAGGAGACCGTTGAGTGGGCCCGAGAGTCTGCCGAGAAGGGAGACTGGTCTAAGAACTCTCGAACCATCACCGATGGCTGGCTCAACAACGAGCTGCACCCTCGGTGCATTACTCGAGATCTGATTTGGGGTACCCCCGTGCCTCTGGAGGGCTTCAAGAACAAGGTGCTCTACGTCTGGTTCGACGCCACCATTGGTTACGTCTCCATCACTGCCAACTACTCTCCCGAGAACTGGAAGGCTTGGTGGAACAACCCTGAGAACGTCGATCTCTACCAGTTCATGGGTAAGGATAACGTTCCCTTCCACACTGTCATTTTCCCCGCTACCCTGCTCGGAACCAAGCAGCCCTGGACCAAGCTCCACCATCTGTCCACCACCGAGTACCTGCAGTACGAGGGAGGAAAGTTCTCCAAGTCTCGAGGAGTTGGTGTGTTCGGAAACAACGCCCAGGATACTGGCGTCTCTCCTTCCGTGTGGCGATACTACCTGCTGTCTGCTCGACCTGAGTCTTCCGATACTCAGTTCTCTTGGGACGACTTTGTGGCTCGAAACAACAGCGAGCTTCTGGCCAACCTCGGAAACTTTGTCAACCGAGTCATCAAGTTCTCCAACGCCAAGTACAACGGTGTCGTTGCTGACTTCACTACTTCTGAGCTCGGTGACACCTTCACTCTTCTCAAGGCTGATGTCGATGGTCTGCTGACCAAGTACAACACTCTCATGGAGAACACCAAGCTCAAGTCTGCTCAGGATACCGCCATGGCCATCTCTTCTCGAGGTAACCAGTTCCTCCAGGATAACAAGCTCGACAACTCTCTGTTTGCCGACCATCCTGCCAAGTCTGCTGCCGTTGTCGGTGTGGCTCTCAACTTGATCCACCTGGTGGCCGCTGTCATCGCCCCCTTCATGCCCGAGACTGCCGAGTCTATCGACAAGCAGCTCAACGCCCCTGCTCGACGAATCCCCGACGAGTTCACCATCGATATTCTCGGTGGCCATCACATTGGCAAGGCTGCTTACCTGTTCAAGCGAATTGACGAGAAGCAGATTGAGGAGTGGAGAGGTAAGTTCGGAGGCCAGAAGTAAACGAGAACCGGAAACTAAAAGTCCAACATTTTGTTTACTACGGTATATAAATCTCGTGACTAGTGCGGGAATGAGATAGAATCAGAAAAAAATCAGTTTAGTATACACACTGTAATATATTGTCTTTATAGTATCAAGTATGGAGTTAGTACATACCCGTCTTTGTCTACTCCTCCTTGTAGAAGGAAGCAACGTCCTTGTTGAGTCCCTGCCAGAGCTCCTCTCCAACCTTTCCACGTCGACCATCGTCAACATCCTGTCTGAGATGTCCCTCAATACCCCAGGGGATGAGGTGCTCATTGTTCTTGACAGCGGGGTTCAGAAGAGCAGACAGCTCCGTGTAGGCACCGTACTTGGGAGGGTACAGCACGTAGTTCTTGATGCTAGACAGCCAAGAAGAGTGTCTAGACAGATCAGACGCCAGGTTACCAGGATCCAGAGACACGGACAGCACACCAGACTCGGGGTGGTGCTTAGACCATAGATAAGCTAGGTAGGCATCTCCAATCTTGGACTGGGAGTAAAGGGTCCAAGGAGAGGGGTTCTTGACCTTGGCGTGGTTGATATCGTCAAACTTGATACCTCCATCGTAAGGGCTCATTGCCACGACAGAAGAAGACACCCAGATGAGTCTCACGGTATCCTTAGGGGCAGTCTTGGCGGCTGAGATCAGAGCAGGAGAAATGTACTTGGACAGCAAGAAGTGGGCAACCACGTTAATACCCCATTGAGACTCGTGGCCCTGGGGAGTAAGGCTGTATGGAGGAGCCATGACTCCAGCATTAAGAATGGCACCGTCCAAAGTGGGGTACTTCTTTCGAATGTACTCTCCAGCTCTCTCTACGGTAGCCAAATCAGATAGATCAGCCTCCACAAAGTCAAAGGTACCATGAGAGTAGGTCTTCTGAAGCTCATCGAGGGTGGACTGGGACTTAGCCTTAGATCGGCCAACCATAACGACATGACTCTTCTTCTCTAGAAGCAGCTTGGTGGCCTCCAGACCAACTCCTCCAGTGGCTCCTGTGACAACGAAATTCTTTCCGTCAAGGTCAGGGTAGTCCTTCTCGGTGTAGCGGGGCTTGCCAACGCAGCTGTTTCGTAGGACTTGCTTGTATTCGGTGAACTTGGATCGGCTCGACATGGTGGGGATGTTTGTGGGAGACGGACTGAGAAGATAGCTCCTGTGGATTACAAGGGTTTATATCTACAGGAACTAAAATCGCCACTGAACCTTGTGGGTTTTGGATCGATATTACAGGGTAGAAGAGAACAGGTATGAAAATTTTAAGAAGTGGATCTCACTCAATTGGTGATCTTAAGCTGATTAGTTTCATCTGTTTCATAATATCTTCGCTTTCCGCAGAGCTGGAGGGTCCTCCAGAACCCCACCAAAAATGACATTATCGCAACCTTGTTTCCCGATACATCTTCGCTTCATTGGGACAATGATACTGGCAGCATGAAGGATGCAAGCCCAGTGTGTAACTGAGACCTGCTTTTTAGGACATCATAGCGTTCATAATGGTAGCCACGGTTGGGGTTCTCCGTTGTTGCAAATGACCATTTCCGCTCCTTCTAACCCCTATAGTGCAGATGGTTCAATTATCGCACAAAAGGTACAAGTAGGCTGGTTTTATCAGGATGTAAAAGTGTAGTGTAAAATTGAGCGGCTGAATCATGGAATTCCCACCACCCTGTTTATATCCTATACGGAACTATTATTTCGGGTCTTGCAGCTGAAGAGCAGAGTTGGGTGGCAATAAAACGAAAACGGGTATTCCTCACTTGTATCCTAGATAGGCTTTCGTCTTATCTGCGGGGGATGTTTTGGGGGTTAGCCTATCTATCATTATACCAAAGAGCGTGATCATGTCCCCTAATCACGTAATGGGAATGGAGAAGTCAGTGTCGCTATACAGGACATGCCTTGAGCTCCTGGAGCCGTGAAAAGCGGTATTAAAGACTTTGTAGACCAGTTGTTCTCAATTTTACTTCAGACTGTCTCTGAGACGACATTGACCTCTGAGAAGAAACTCTTTTGGAGCTGGTGAAGTTCATGATTTACTCAGCCAGGAAAACGCAGAAAATCCATGGGATCTGATTCAGTGTTCTTGATAGTATAAGGGAGCTCTGGGTAGGCGGCACTATTGAGGAAGGTGGGAGATGGTCCGGAGTCGAAGACAATGAGTCGATGCAGAGAGACAGGGTAGAGTAAACCTCCGTATTAAACGCAAGGAACCCTTGTGGTGTTAGATACTGTTTAGATCTGCCTTGCTGGTTGGGATTGCCTCATGCTTTCCGTAGTTGTACGGACAAACCAACAGATGTCAGAACTCAACATAGGTGTTCTCCACGCACGCGGGTATGTAACACATGAAGTAAGTGAGTAGATACTACAAGCACCAGTATACCACCTTGGAAAGACAATCCTTTGAAGGATTTTGGCGTGTAGGTTTTCAAGCGTATTTAAGGTGCAATTGGTGGGCCACTCTTTCTCGTATAATCACCGAACAAAGAAACGGCTAAACCTTGACCAAAAATCAACAGTATGGCGTTCAGTATGGCGTTCTGAATCCTATGTCAGTATCATTCATAAAAGCATACGCTGGGAAAATCTATTGCCCTAGAACTGTGTTGATCAATTGCTGGATTAGAGTCGGTCGACAGAGTTGCTATAGACAGCTAAATTATACAACGTAACCTCCATGCATGTCCTGTATGGATTCTGGTCCCACCTTGAATGACTCCGATCACAGAGAGCAAAAACGGAAGAGAAATATGTGCCAGAAAAACAAACTGACTTCCAAAAAGAGAAGAGGACGACAGGACTCGAACCCGCAGCCTTTGGAGGACGTCGTTCAGAAGAACCGAAATCCAATGCGCTACCATTACGCCACGTCCTCTTGGGATGAGAATCCGGAGTGTGTTTGGAGTATAAGAACGTAAAAAAGTCGATAAAAACCAACTCAAATTCGTTTCCCGTCATTTACTGTCTGTTTTTGAGGTTTTGATTACTTTTTATTTTTTCATTTCATGTTTTATTTATTATGTTTTGCTCATTATGTTTTGATTGATTTCCAAGTCATGATCCCACGAACCGAGACCGATACACGAGCACGAGAACGAGCACCAAGAATTGGACACCCTTGACACCACCGACCCGATCACCGAGACCGATTACGATTTGCAAGATTCATAACCCGGGTAACTACCATGGTACTGGTACAATTACCCTGGTACTCGTACTCGTACTCGTACGTATATAGCTGTAATGAATCTTCAGAATAAAAAAAAAGAAAAAACATCGAAATCAAATATTCTGACTTACGAAACATTTCACGAGGCAATGGACGACTGCCTGGTACATTAAAGACATAGTCATGGTCCATATATCCTCGAACATATCCTGTCTTGACAGACATCATCGTGATACCTAAAAGGGATGTCCACCGAGGAGGAAGAACCGAATAACAAGATAGAAGTACGGTACGATAGGTAGGAACTTGTAGAACTACAAAATGAAGTTATTATAAAACAAAGAGGTATTCGTTACGATTAACCAAAATAAAATAAAAAATAGTGTAATGCTACAATTACAGCAAAAAGATATCGACAATTGCAGGACTCGAACCTACGCGCGGAAACCGCATTTGATAACTAGAATAGTTAAATTCAAGTCAAACTCCTTAACCACTCGGACAAATTGCCTGGTACAAGAGGCTCGGCTGCGTTCTTTCCATTCGAGCCATAGGAACTCATCACGTGACCAGGAAAAAAACTGTATTAGAATCGTAAAAAACAACGTAAACGAGAAGTGTAATAGGTTAGTATTCGGTATCATCCGAGAGAAAAAAGCGAAGAGAATCTAAAAATAGTATTTACGCAATGATCAAGTCATCACACTTTTCGCTAAGCTCCGTCAAAGATACCATGCTCAGGTGCGTCGATCATGTAAAGTGGAGTCAGCCTAAATTCACTACGTAAACAAGATAAATGTTCAATAAATAGGTGTAAAAATGACTCATATTAACTATTAGAACTCTCCTAAGTACCTCCCTTATAGATATTATATTTTTTTGCACTTAATCTTCTCAGGTCCTTTCCATACTTGATCATCAAAGGAGTCGAAAGGAGTGGGACTAAGGAAAGACAACCCGCAATGATAAACACATTCCTGAGCCCATCCAGGTTAATCCAAGGTGATAAGCAGAAGGTAACGACCATAGACATGATGTTTCTTACCACCACAACACCGATCATGGCGTCTGAAATCATGTCTCTGTAACAGTCCACCAGGTAGGTGAGGGTGATACTTCCATTGGCACCGAATCCAACCGCGAACACACCCAGGCCAACCATTGGTACAGCCCAATGGGTTCCAGCTGAAATAGAGAGTCCAAACATGAACACGCCTGCGGTCATAATCAAACCTGTTGGAATCAGCATGTAGAGTCTCATCTCGGGTTCGTAGATGCCATGATTACGCTTGGTGAGGTACAACATGTGCTTATCGTTCAGCCAGCCTCCATAGAAGGAGCCAATCAGCAGACCAACAAAGGGAGAGATGTTCATATTTCCAATAGCTTCTGATGAGAATTCATAAGGTGGCTGGGTGAAGGAGTTTGCCAGAGTGGTCGCACTCATTGCAAGCCAAGTAAGCATGAATGTGTAGTGAAGTGTAACAAAAATAACAATAGGAAATGACACCAGAACCACAAAGGGTGTATAGAAGGTCTTAAAGAAGCTTTCCCATGTTCCAGGAGTAATGGTATAAGGTCTTATCTGCCATTTGATCTTTCCTTGAGGTCGCTTAAGATCACTGATATCTCGGGAATCACCCTTTTCTCGCTCAAACTTGGTTTCTTCGAAGAAGAATACTGAAAATACCAAGAAGCCACTTCCCATTCCCCCCAGAATCCAGAAACAGGTATTCCAATTGATATTGGCTGCAATGTAGCCAGCAGGAACCAGTGATAAGAAATTGGAGATTGCAATAATGACCATAAATATTCCGTTCATAGTTCCTCTCTGGTGAACAAAGTACAGGTCGGCAATAGTCATCTGGATCATAGCCTCACAAAGAGAAGTAGCCAGACCTTCAAGGAAAGAAGCAGCGTAATAGTCATGGAGGTATTTCATTCTAGCCTGCCAGAAGGTAGATGCGATAGTCAGGATAGTAGCGACAAGGTAAACTGGCCGTTTTCCAAACTTGACTGCAACCGGAACGAAAAGGGGACATCCGATTCCTAGACCTCCAATACCTAAAGCAAACCCATTGTTGAGTTCATCAAAGGAGAATCCCAGATCAACATTCAAATTGCCCCAGAAAGCGGTAGCGATACAGTTGCAAGAGAATGCAACAAGGGTGAAGAACAGAACAAGGAATAAGTTCAGAGATTTCCTCCATGGGGCCCAATTGAGTGGGTCATTGGGGTCCAGCGAGGGAGTGGGGTGAAGGGTGGTATTGTTGAGAACTGTTGCTAGCCTTACTGTTCCCGGGGGCTCAGAGCCTGAGACGGGATCATCAGTAACCTCCATGACACCTGATTCAATCGAGACAATCTTCGAGCTCTGATCAAAGAACTTCTTATCAGTCGAATCAGGGGAAGCCTTCGAGTAATCTCCGGGTAGTGTTTCAACTGTAGGCCCTAAGATCTGTTCTCCCAAGACGACAGAAGACCTGGCAGTCTCACGAGTGTTCTGCGGAGAAGTTGAAGAGAATGTCGGTGGCTGTCGGGTGTCAAGTGGCACCCAGACACTTGGGGGATAGGTTGGAGTGTCAGACATTAGCCGTCAGTGGAAGGTAAGCTCAAGTATATCGAAGCAGATCAACACACATTGAACAAGACCGCTGGTATATATAACCCTTGGCGTATATATCTGCCGAGTTAGTTTTGCATCTATAATACTTTCGCCGATGTCTTAACAACGAAGCATAGTTTCGGAGATGTTAGCTTTGCTGATAAGAGCGCTTGAATGATCCATACGAAGGTATCGATGCATGTAGCCTAAACAGAAGTGGGGCAATAACTAACCACAAAGGGTAACCAGTTATGATAACCGAATCACGTGACATGTGGTTATGATATTGTGTCAATGTCCCTGACAATTGATCAAGTTTCCTCCCGTCACTTGTCTCTCTCAGCTAGTACCGCCCACAGAAACTGACGGACGCGGCTGAACGTCACACTGCTCTAAGCTTAGTCTGTTATCTAGGCGCGCTTAAAAAAAAGCAAATCCGGTAGCACTGAAACCTGCTTAATGAGTCGAAATATAGGAGGGGGGTGTACAATTACCTGTAGGTGGGCTTGGTACAGTAATGGTTCCATAATTGCAACCCAAGTTCACCTAGAAGTGTAAAATCACATGACACCACTTGTTTATTACCAGCACAAGCAGCTGCGTAGTGTATGTCAGTTCAGAAATTTGTAAGTCTATACTTACCTCCACGAATAGACCTTCTTATCGGGAAGGAAGGTATATATTCTGATAACTACGAGGTCGTGTCTCCACCCCCACTACAACAGCAGTAGTAGGGATCTAGAGAATAAAAAGATCCCTCTTTGTTGTAGAGTGTGACCAACAATTACACATCGAGTAGTATGCTACGCGAGCTAGAGACAAGTTTGATGATACAAGGAATTCCATCTTTAATCGCCGTTGTAGTGTCTCACCATAGAATCATCTCGTATTGGCGCGCGGTAAAAATCATTTCCTATCCAGGCAGTCTGGTACGGTTGTTGAGACCTCAATCTTTCTTGGAGATAACACCTGGTAGAAACCATAGATATGGGTTCTGTTGTAGTACACAGCCCCTGGCCCGCTCGTGATTGAATACGCGCCAGCTACCTTCACATTAGTCGTTAATTGTATAAATAATCAGCCAAAAGCCTGATTCAAGCAGTAGGATATGGTGAGCTCTCCTCTGATGGCATAACGGTTGTATAACGATCCCACCGTCTCATCAAGTCCCGGAGCAAACGATGAGATGTAGCAAAAAATCTGGGAGCTCTGGGAGTTCTTAATCCTAAGCTGTTTTCTCAGAAACTTGACCACAACTCCAAACTGTTGAGTCTCAGCAATCTTATACACCGACTGCTTCAAAGTAGGTGTCGCTCCTCCAATTGGGCGGAATTTGAGCTGGCATTTGACGTTAGATTGCTGTAGTTGTTGTGAGAACGTCTCAAGGATTGCAGCTGTATCGGAGGGAAGTGAAGGGAGCACTGCTGAGGCGGACAGAGTGGCCGGAGCCACTGGTGGTGGCGTAGAGTCAATTGTGTCAGAATCAGTGGCAGTGGGAGCAGCTGGAGAGTCGTTTGGAACAGCCAAGGGGTCGTCTTTATGCAACGCTTCTGGTTCATACTGTTGAGTTAGATGAGGCTCTGGAGTAGCCTCCATCTGTGCTGTGGCGAGTTCAAAGGGCGCAGGAATATTTGCTGACGCGGAGACATACTCCTGGGGAGCTTCGTCGCTTGTGTCTGAATCACTTTCAATCATGTTGTTGCTTTGATTGAGGTTGTGACCACTTGTTCTGACCTGTATGCATGGGGTGTATATGCATGACGATAAGTTAAGGTGTAGGGAGTTCCAGATTGCATATCGGCGTTAAGGTGATATCGCAACGGAGAGGGGAGTGTAGCAATGGTTGTATCTACCAGTTAGTAATATACCACCTTATAAAAATAAAGTGGGTATATGATAACATGTACCGGTATTTATATTCCAGTGTCCCTAAACGGTGAGTCCCACCCTACATCCTTACCCTAACTATATCTCAACTGAAAAGTACTAAATTACTTATCCTCCCAAAGAACATCATTTTCTTCTGCACGTGATCTCCAAAATAAAGTTGTGTTCAGCGATTTTTCACCTAAGCGACGGTGCAGGAGGAAAGGACACCAGA